AGTTACAACATTTCTCATCTGGATGGAACTCAAAGATCGAAGGAGATAGCATGATTCATGAAATTTGTGGCCCTTAAGAGGGCCGTTGGGTTCAAGGGCAAACGCCATAGATGTAATACATCAACGACGTTTTTTGGCCTAGGCTTTTTTGCCTTTATTTCCGCCTTGGCGGACTTTTTTGGTTGAGGCTTTTTTCATTCGCGGCTTCTTTGGAGAGACGACCTTGGTTTTCTTCCTTTGCCTTGATGTCTTTTTTTGCTTATGCGATGACCTTTTCTTCGCCCCTTTTTTTTCAACTCTGGTACCAAGTCTGAAGGAACCGTTCATACCAGCACCTTTCGCAGACGTCAACTTTCCCGTTGCGATACCTTTTTTGATGGCCAATCGAAGTTGAGAATGTACACGTTTACCGTTGTCACCTAACTGATAATGGCGTGAGATATATTTCAAAATTGCCGCACGACTTGAGCCTTTTCGATCTTTCAAAGCAGTGATCGCTTCTTTAATCATTTGAGAATAACTGGGATGGGTCTTCGCTACTTTTCTGCCTTGTCGCTTGGAACGTGCCTCAGGAGAACTGAGAGCTCCTGGTCGCTTCTTTGAAGACTTTGTTACGGACTTTGCAGCCGGACCATCCATTAGAGCGGGCGAAGGTAACCCAACAGCCGACGACACCTCCATTGCAGATAACACAAACAAACGCCCTATAGAAATAAAGAGATGGGTTGAGAGCGGATGATTGCCCTTATATACTGCCCGGCTTTCCCGCCAAAATTTTAGAAGTTGGCGGGAATTTACAAATTAGTTGTTTGTCCGAGCGGCGTATTTCTGCAGAGTTCTTCCTAGAAGGAACGTGTACCTTATCCAGGATGCGTGTCTCTCGCGCGGAATACGTGTCCTGAATAAGCAAGAACATTCTCTTTTGCAGTCCATTGTAATTACAGAGGGAAAATTGTAACATAATAACATAACTAAAACTACTCATGTAACGTCTATGGTAACGCATACGTCTAATATATCACGTATGGTGCTATGCATTTACGTATAGTTCACAACAAATATACAATGGTTAGAATTACAATCCTTCTGTGAATTCGAGCTGTTAATTTATACTCCCTTGTCGAAAATGATCTTGGAAATGTTAGGATTCATTTTCATATAGATTTCTGTTAATCGTCATAAATAGTGAAACTTTTTTCGAGTTCAGCAATTTTTCAACGAAATCAATTTGTAATTCATCTAAAAGAGGACAGGTTTCCCCAATAATTGCAAATATTTAAATTACTTCTAAAGTAATTTAACTCTTTTAATTGTTCTTAATTTATTGCTAATTTATCTTTTGATTGTTTCTAATTAAATCTTCAACGATATGCATGTTTCATTCAAATCGATAAAATAGCCGTATAATAGATCGGATGGTCCCTCATTCGAAGAACCTTCCAGAAATAACAAGAAGGGGTGTGTTCACTCTATGAGAAGTCACTATGAATTTTGGCGGGAAAATGCGAGCCTATAAAAGGGTGCTTGTGGAGTGGTTCGGCTATTTAGTCGTTCAATTGCATAGACGTTGTTTTGTTGATGGCACGAACTAAGCAGACTGCTCGCAAATCGACGGGCGGGAAGGCGCCGCGAAAGCAGCTAGCGACAAAGGCAGCAAGAAAATCTGCTCCTGCCACGGGTGGAGTGAAGAAACCGCATCGATATCGTCCTGGTACCGTTGCGCTTCGTGAAATCCGTCGCTACCAGAAATCCACTGAACTGCTTATCCGCAAACTACCCTTCCAACGTTTGGTGCGCGAAATTGCGCAAGATTTCAAAACTGACCTCCGTTTCCAGTCGTCAGCTGTACTCGCACTGCAAGAAGCTAGCGAAGCCTACTTAGTAGGACTCTTCGAAGATACTAACTTGTGTGCGATCCACGCCAAACGTGTCACCATTATGCCGAAGGATATTCAACTTGCTCGGCGTATTCGTGGGGAGCGAGCCTAAATGGCTGTGGAGTAGTAGTTCAAGAACCATCCTCCAAACCCAACGGCCCTCTTTAGGGCCACAAACTGATGAGTCATGCTATTTCCATGAGATCTTTGAGTTCCTTCCAGATGTGAAAATCGTATAAATTTCTTTTATTAATAAATATTGCTTGAAATATTCTCATACAAAATTTGCATGTGCCCGAGAAATTCGTATGTAGTCGAGGAATATAGATCA